TCAAGCATGTGCTAAGTGAAAGAAGAGTAGCTTATGAATATGCGATTAGAGAAGATCCAAAATTATTCGGATTAGAAGAAGTACCTAGTCCACATAAAGGTTACAGAAAAGAAACAAATGAAACATCATCTAATAAAAGTAGAAGTAGACTTGGTCGCAAAGCTTTTACTAGGATGAGGAGTATTAAATAAAATCCAATTTATCACATGTAAATTGTAGATCATCATATGATGATTGTATAAACGATAAACGATTTATATATATATATAGCTTTTACGTGTAAAAAAAAAAAAAATGACTTGGTCACTTCAAAAAATAAATAAATAAATAAAAAACTAGAATAACTACCTGTAATCAAATCTTTAACATTGGGTAACGGATTGGGGTTATGCATACCACCCTGAAAAAATTCATATAAACCTTTGACATTAGGACTATTTGTAGCTTTCCAATTTATTAAATTTTTAGATGTTGTATGAAATGAACGGAATAAGTATTTGTTCATTTTTGTGATCTAAAAAAGTTATCCTTTTTTTTTTTTATATAATCGCCACGTGATGACATTAATGATTCGGGAATTCTTCAAAATTCGGCCAATCACAGAAATTGACCTTAACCACAGCGTCACAGAATTTTAAAAGCGAAGATCTCTCTGAGTAGTGATCCTGGCCGATCAAAATTTTTCGACCGGCTAAGCCGATTAAGCCGATAAAATTTTATCGGCTTAATCGGCTTAGTCGATTTTTTATTACAGCTGCTGGGATCTTTGCTATAAAAATGACCTTCCGAGGCTATATGGATTTTATAAATAAACTTTAAATTTTCCAGCGATCCAGTAATCCAATTTGAATAAACTTTTTTTATTTCATAAAGCCTAGAGTATTCTATGAAATAAAAAAATTTTATTCAAATTGGATTACTGGATCGCTAAAAAATTTAAAGTTTATTCATAAATCCACATAGCCTCGGAAAGTCATTTTCATAGCAAAGATCCCAGCTATTTTCATAATTTCTGGAACAGACCCGAAATCTTTTTGGTCATCTGGTAAATTATCTAACTCTCCAGAAACTACATCGCTGTCTTCGGACCTTCAGTCCAGAGGCAGCAAAGTAATTTCCGGAAAGCTAGATAATTTACCGGATGACCAAAAAAGTTTTCGGATAACGAGTACGTAGGTGTTCCAGAAATTATGTAAAACTTCGGAATCCTTTGGAAGATTAGGTTCGTTCATTTTCCACATCGGAACTTTTAGAAATGTCATAATCCTATCGCTATGAATAAAATCGATCAGCCGATTTTTAAAAAAATCGACCGGCTAAGCCGATTTTTTCACTATCGGCCAGGATCACTATCTCCGAGCTAATTTTTTTTTTAAAATTTCTTGTATAAAAAGTTATAATGATTTAAAAAATTAAAATCTTAATATAATCTAGTACTATAAATGTTCTAAATAAAGGTGCGGACACTAGAACATGAAATAACATACGTCATAGCCGTAACTGGGGTAGCTACCCAAATTATATATGACGTAGGAGGGTAGCTACCCTTGACCTGATAAATGTCCGCACCTCTAGTTCTAAAGTTTAGCATTTAGTTTCCGGAGAGTTGGATCCGGGTAAAAAAATATATATATAGTAAATTACCCGAATTTTGAATCACTCTAGGACCATTAGGTTGAAATTAACGATAGTAGACTGTATATCAGACTAAAAATTTGCACGTGAAGATTATATATAGTACTATACAAGCTAGGTAGCCTCAGTGTTCATTTATTGACTATAAATTGATTTATCGATAATATGTATCGCAATTTTTGGTTCCACCTTTAACTGTACCGGACATTTTCAAATGTTGAAAAATATCGTGAACTTCAATGTGTTCAAAAAGAATACAAAATTTAAAAACGATACGCTGCCGAAATTATCTCGAGAAGATAATTTTGGTCTCCTTATACTGTAGTACTATATACCCTTACATTACGACTTACGTGAGATCTGCCGAAAAGTGCATTTACTCACAAAGTAGTAGGCAAAAATTGCCTGCAAAATGGTGTAAGGGGATAAGGGTTAATGTATGCAATCGTTTCACCCAGATACCTGTTTTCAACTCTGATTTTCTTCCTCCTCTAATTCAATGTCCGGTAATGGAAAGTTAAGAATTGCAGCTACTCCCGTGAGTTGATTAAGTTCTAAAAGAAATTAGGTTTTATTAATTAATAGTAAATTTAAATGAATTTCACGTGATATTTTGCTTACGCTCTCCTGAAACATGTAAACTTGAAAATATTAACACTTTGCCACCAATTGAACGAACTGATTCCACAAGATTAATGTACTTTTTACGAGTTGGAATGTCTGCAGACCTTTAAAAATGAAAGATAATTAATTAATTGAATATTATTTATGCTTAATTAATTATGCCTTCATGATACCTAAATAATTCATCAGAAAGAAGTAAAGTTCCGATAGCACCCCTTTCCTCTGCTTTTCTTACGTGATCCCACCCATAGAAGGCTCTGTCAGGGTCATCATTAAGCATTTTGAAAAACTTATCTAGAGCAACAATTTCCCTTGCGAACTTTGTGTCTGTTAGTTGACTTTGCACAGCTGAATCTTGTAATACTTCTTGAAGTGAATGTTTATGACCCGATGAGCAATGAATAAGGATAAACTTGGATTTATTTTCCACTAACGATCTAATATCTTGTCTCTAATCACCCATACGATTAAATAATTGGACTTGTAAACATAATGCTCTTAGCTATATAATAAGATTATAATGAAAACTTAAATACCAATGCCTCAGTAAATATATATTCGTAAAGTTGGTCCTTTTATTTCATAAAAATTATTAATTTAATGCCATAATAATAGAGTTTTTTTAGCTTTGAAATATTCACCTTGACAAACCCAGGGCTCGCCAAAATGACAACCTTGATTATTTCAAAATTTACATGCCGCAAAATCGCTTGTAATACTTGATCATAGAATTTTTGCAAGCCCTTAAAAGACGAAAAAAAAGATCAGTTTTAGAAAATACAAAATATTTAATTACAATTCAAACCTTTTCGTAATTTGCCACGAACCCCTTACGCTTACGCGGAATAGGATGTTCAATTCTTTGTCGCACTATAGTCATATGTTGTGTAACCAAGCATACATTTGCTAGACCTGAATTAAGATGATGGATTCCAGTGAATAAATATAACGATAAAGAGCATTACTAAATATAAGATTAATTTGAGTATAGATTAACCTTCCTGAAGCACGACTGCAGCAACGTCAGCCTGCTTAGTGATATCGCATGCTTCTTCAATACGTTCAAGTGCAATAATATCCCATTCTGGTTTAAACAGTGTAAAATTTCGATTTAATTCAAGATCAATCGTATGATACATGCCCATCTAAGATATTATTATAAATGACGTTTTAGATAACATATAGTGATTTCGTGTAATCTTAAATTTATATGAATATAGAAACTATACTTTGACATATTTATTTTCGACTATATTACGTCCCCTAATTCTCAATAGACCACCTTGTGGATCAAAATCCACATCCTCCACTGTTATGGTTAAAGTAAGTCTAACTCGCTGTGACTCTACTGAACCAGTATTACTTTCATTTTGAACACGCCTATATCATAGATGTTAACAATTGACTTTAATTGAAATATTTTAATTTCGAGACAAGGGAAACCTTGATATTCACCGTATGGTCGTGGCTTTCAAATTATCGCCTAATGAAATTAGATTATAAACGTGCCACATGTCCTCAAGTTCTTCGGGATAAAGCTCAACAAATCCCTACATTTGGGTGATGCAAGGTAAATTTAATAACCACAGATAGTAGACAATTATCTTTCGTCAAATTTACCGAGCGATCTTTTTCAATTCGTTTCTTAACTAGCTTCATTTCAAAATTTAACTAAAGTAAGGAAATATATGCCTGCGGAAATTATCCGTTTACTGTTATATTTAGTGAAACATCATGTGATTATTGTCTTTTATGTGGCACGTGGAGTCGTGGGTGAAAACTTTTTATTTGTTACATGGTTAATAAAGTATGAGTGGAGGTTACATGCGCATCCATCATAAGTTTTCTATTGGTTGAAAATAATAAAAAAAAGTAAGTAGACTATTCTAAGTCTTTAAAGTCTGTAAGTTTTAATCCTAAAAACAAACCAAGTTTTAATGATCGTACTCTGAACACCAATTCAACTATCTTTATAATTACGTATTCTATTTATACAGGAAGTCGTCATTATTGGATTCTCAATGTCCGTGTCTGACATTGACTGTAATAGATCATTTACATCCCCAGATGGCTGCAAACCGACCAAAGTAAGTCTGTGATATAAGGATTTAATCTACTTTTGCCTATTTTTATATAATAATGTTTGTCGTCGCGTATACATATTTGGCAATAATTAAACACTAACTTTAATATTAAAAAGTCAAACTTCGAACGAAGAAGAGGATAGTCCTACAGATACCAACCCTGCATTTCCTGATTCTCCGACTATTCCACCTGGGGATAATAATGTCACAGAAGATCCTCGTCTGTCGATTTCTCCTAGTAATCCAGGCTCTTCTTCAAGTTTGTCATTAAGCATTAACTTCTACTAAATCAAAGCTTTAATTGCATTTTATGCTAATATTTTTTTAATGACCTTCCTTTGCTTTTGTATTATCATTAACCATCTTACGAAGTAACTTCACCTACAACTACACCACCATCTCATGCCAATACGTTTAATCCATCATCTCCTGCCCATTTATCGAACCGCCCTCAACCAACATCTTCATCTAATCAACCTAACCATCGTGTTCCCACGCCGGCTGGCAGCCAGTCACCGATAGTAACAGTGTCAACGACAACAAGAAGACATTATCATCATCACGGTGATAAAAGAAGAAATTATCAAGGTGAACCTCATATACCTCAAGCACCACCAGTCCCACCTGCACCTGCTCCTTCCATGTACTGGTCAAAAATTAGAACCCATGGTAAGATTCCTAAAGCCCTCAGAGCGCATACAGTAAACTTGGTAGGTGAATTGATGTACGTATTCGGTGGATGTGATGCCCGGACATGTTTCAATTCTATATATATATTCGACGCTGGTATGTATAATTTTTTGTTGTCCTTAGCATCTCAATTCTAAACCAATTTCTTAATTGAAATTTATATATATTTTTTAGATACAATGTACTGGAGTAAGCCAAGAACTATCGGTGATCCCCCACCGGCATGTCGTGCTCATTCCTCCACTCTTGTAGATAAAAGATTATTTATATTTGGGGGAGGGGATGGGCCCGAATATTTCAATGACCTATATGTATTCGATACTGGTACAAATAACCTTTTTATTTTCTTGGGAAGAAATTAATTGATCTATTATTATAGATTTATGTGTAACAAATTGATGCTAATAAGTATCATGATAAACCCTTTAGATACACTCACTTGGACTAAACCAAAAACATCTGGCAATATTCCGTCAAGACGCCGTGCACATACCACCGCCTTCTATAATAGTTGCATTTATGTTTTTGGTGGGGGCGATGGAGTTCGTGCCCTCAACGATGTATACAAGCTAGAAATTACTGATATGAACAATTTGGTTTGGCAAAGACTAGAAACAACTGGGAGACCTCCAATTTCTAGAGGTTATCACACTAGTAATCTCGTAGGAAATAAGCTTGTGGTTTATGGTGGCAGTGACGGTCACGATTGTTTCGACGATGTTTTTATGCTAGATTTAGGCAAGTGGAGATTATTAGATATCATATTTTTAATCTGGAAATAAAATAGTTCTAATATTATTCTAATTGATGCTTTGTTAATTATATATATTTTAGAAAGAAACAATTGGACTAAGGTTAATATTGAAAATTCTCGCCAACGGCTTTCACATACTGCAACACAAGTAGGATCTTATTTATTTATCGTTTGTGGGCACGATGGTGTACGGTATACCTCGGAAGTCCTTTTATTAAATTTGGGTATATTATCTTTTATTACATGTTCACATGGCAATATAATATAAATAAATAACTTATAAATTATAAACTATTATTCAATTCCTAGTTACTATGCAGTGGGAAGTCCGCAAAGTATATGGCACACCACCATCAGGCAGGGGGTATCATACCACAGTACTTTACGATTCTCGACTCTTCGTTTTTGGGGGATATGATGGTCACAGCGTCTTCGATGATGTTTATGTTTTGGATTTGTCAGCCTGTGCATATTTGCCGCAAATTACAAATTTTCAACTTCCCGAGTTTTGATATTTGTATCTAAAAAAAAAAAAAAAAAAAAAAAGGAAAAAAAACAACTTTCTTACATCTAAATGCAATTTATTCTTCCTACTTTATTGAATTGGTGATTCAAAGAAAATTTTGATGAGTATTTAATATTTTAAGTATTAAAAGGTTTTAATCCGACATTCCCTATAATAATTTTACGGTGAATTTTTCTAATTCGATTTCGTTAGAATTGATGTCTTTCGACTTTAATGTTCATCTTGCTTCTTTGGAATTGATTTCTTTGTTGTACTTATTTCGTTTTTTCATATTCATTCTAAAATAGTTTTAATCTAGAGAATGATTTTTTATTTTACCGGATAATCAAGTGTTTTACATAAAGGAACTTGTAAACTATAATCAAATTCAAATATAATGATATCAAACTGTATCATCACAACTTCTTTTAAATATATTTTTAAATATATTGTTTTATAGTTGTTATATTATACAGTTCAAATAATTTTTAAAAAATAAATAAAAAACATGTACATTTTTTTTAAAAAAAAAGAATTATTTAGTTGGTTTAAGTGAAGCATTAAATATTAGAATTAATATATTTATAGCCATAGGCTACATGTAGCCGTAACTAAGATCAGGTATAATGTGACTATCAAAATAATTTTTTTTATAAAAATAAAACCTACGATTAAGATTATAGTTAACAACAAAAAAAAAAAAAAAAACATTATCTTCTTACAAAATGGATAAATACTCTTCTAAATTTATCTTTATTCAACAAAAACCAAACCAAAGAAGCTTCATTTTAACAATCTATTCCTCTTAGTCTATTCTGTATTCTCATATATGAACATGATGAAAAACTTTTTAGTACTAATCGAGTAGATTTTAATTCAAAAAGAAAAAGTTTTTTCTTTTACAAAATCTTTAAAACATTTTTAGTAGCTGTTGCAAAAAATGAAGAAATAGATAATCTTTCTCTGGATGAAGCAAAAGAAAAACTTATATCTTAATCTATTAATATTCATTACTTGGCAAAAGTAATTATATATTACTTAATAAAACAAAAGCTTACTATCACTATTATTGAAATTCTTGATCAATATAAAACTACATTCTATTCAGAAGTAGAAAAATATCTTAATGATAAATTTAATATTAAATTTAATAATTTAATTCAACTTGAAAAAGTTCTCTTTTTCAATATACAACCTAACAAATAGCTAAAGATTAAAATAGAAATTGATGATCTCTTTGCTGATCTATAAGTTCTTAATAAATCTTCAAATAAGACTTCTGATATACCAACAACTATCTCAGAAACTGAAACCTCCTCTTTTCAATAAATTCTTCTATAGAAATCATAAATGCAGCTACTATCTTTGAAATAATAATGTTCTCTACTGACTATAGGCTATTTTCAACAGAGAATAATAGAAGTAAGCAGGTAGTTAAACCTATTTCTACAAAGAACTAAGTATATATTGGTCAGACTCAACATATGGAGCAGGCTTTAGTAAACATTGCAACTGTGAGAACTGGATATACAGTAAGTGTTTCTACAGAAGACTCCTATTCAACTTCAGTAACTACTTTTTTATTAAATACTAAAGTTACTTGCTATAATCAATTCTTACATAAATATAATTATCCTATTCTTAACTAACCAAACTCTTAAATCATTTATTCAATATTTAACTAAACTCAATCATAAACTTCTTTTTAAAATTTTATACAATTCAATACTTAAGAAATCTCATATTTATATTGATAAACTTGATTCTTTATTACTATACTATACTATACTTTATCTTATTAACTATTCTAAATTTTTTAATCTACTAATTAGATTACAAATTTCAAACAATTCTCTATTACTTAATATTACAATATATAATATAAAAAGATATAACTAACTATTAAAAAGAAAATTATAGGAAGAGTACTACCTTATTTATAATCTATATATCATAAGTCTTACTGAAACCAAAATATCAGCCTAATATACTTCACTTCATTTCTTTAATACAAAAGACTTTTTTTACTTCTAGGCTAACTCTGAGACTTCTGTAGAAAGAACTTGTATTATAGTTAATAACTCAATTAGACTACATATATACAATATTCAAACACATTTAGAAAGAGCTATTGCTATTAATTTTTTCTTTAAAAACAACTTTAAATTTTGAATTATATCTGTTTATTTATTTAGTATAAATTCACTAACTAGATAAATAACACAAAACAAAGTTATCCATTAGATCCAGAATACTTTATCTACTAACTTACTTTCTATTATTCTAGAAGATTTAAACTCAAATACTGAATACCAAGCTTCTTATTCTGCTAAAACTAAACTACTCTCCTACAAGACCAAAATATATATAATCTGACTAACTATATCTCAACAAATTAACATACTTAGCAAAGTAGTCATTTTAGTAGCCATATAGATTATATATAAATACATTATTCTACTATACTATATTTTTTAAACTTTATACTCACAGATCCTAACACTATCTCTAATAGTAATCACCAAATCTTTATCTTTTCATAGTCTTTTCCTTTTGCTCTTTAAAATAGAATTAGATATAAAAATAATATTTGGCATAAAATATTTGATTATAAGTCTATAAACTCTGAATTATAGAAAGAAATTACAAACTTAGTTTTATATAATTTAAACTAAAAAAAATATCAACAAACTCAATTCATATAGAATCACTTGAAAAAAGCTAATACAAATTACAAATAAGTATTTCTAAAGCTACTCTTTCAAAAATTCCTAACAAAAGATTTAAAGCTTCTAACTTCTAATACCAATATATATTTAAAGCTACTAACTTGTACTATGATCTTAAAGCTTTAAGAAGTATAATTCAAACTATTAAAAAAGTTATTAATGATAATTTATCTATACTAAGTCATATAACTACAATAATTTAATAGCTTAATACTAAACATGAATTTGAAATTCTAGCATCTCCTTTATTCTTACAATATTTAGCTAATTAGATTATTACTACTAAATAGTATTAGAAGACTCTTTATCATACTCACAATCTAGAAAACAATAAAGCAACTCATGAGCAGATCCAGAAAGCTCTGAATAAATATTATGCCAATATTTAAAAAAATCTAACAAAAATGATAAATAGTATATTAAATAGATATAAGAATCTAGTTAGATTTGATAATATTAAAACTAATAATAATCTTATTACAAAACCTAAATCTATTAAGCAAATAATCCAAAATTATTTCTTTAACTGAACAGCTTCTCGATCAGTTAACTCAAATATTTTTAACTTGAATTAGATTACTAAATATACTCCAAAACCTAATATTTAAACAAACTGGTATTTAGATATTTTTTAACCAATACAAATTGATGAAGTCCAACAAACAATTAGCAAATTTTCAAATAACAAAGCATGTAGACTATTAGAAATTAGTTATAAAATGTTCAAATATTCAGGTATACTATTCTTACAACTTATTACTAAACTTTTAAATGAATGTTTAATATATCAACAAATTCCTAAACAGTGAAAAGATGGTTGTATTTTTCCAATATTCAAAAAACTATTATTTAATAGTAATCTTTTAAATACTAGACCAATTAGTTTAATTGAGTATATCAAAAAACTCTATACCAAAATATTAACCAATTAATTTAATATTACTTTAACTAAATATAATATATTATTTCTTTTTAATTATATTATACTACTAGGTAATAGTACTAATATATCTATTAATATTCTTAACAATATTATAGAAGATACAACATGCAATGAAAAAGAACTCTGATTCTTATCCTAGAATATGAGCAAAATATATAACTCAGTTAACTTTGATCTTTTTAAACTAGCTCTTTAAAGAATTTAATTCTCTACACCTCTTATTAATTTTTTACTTAACCTTCTTCTTGAATGAACAAACAAAGTTATCACAAACTTTGGATTAACAAATTTATTTTTTTTTTTTTTGTTATTAAGGCGGCTTACATTGCTGAAGGAATTTTATTAGAATTGCATATGGGATATACATTG